TAGCAATATTCCAGCAATATCACGGCGGGGGACGCCAGAAATGGGCTTCACACTTTGTACCCGAATAGAACCCGGATCTTCGGTGTGACGAACGAACGCTTTAACCATTAGGCTACCCGACCGCCCCCATATTAAGTTGAATATATTCGTACAATGTTGTAAAGGATATATGATAAATAAACCAGTTTTATCGAATCTATGGTCAGTACACAAACGAATACATGGTTCGGTCAAGTAATCTTAAGACGTGTAACCAGGGGCCCGATCCTCCTGCTGATATTAAATAACCTGTCCATGTGCCGGAAGTGTAATTCTTCAACTTGGTACGTAGAGCGGCCTGTTTCCTTAACCTATACCACTATAAGTGAGTGAAAAGAGGTCCACAACGTTTGTAGCAATATTCCACCCTTATCATGTCAGGGAACACCACGACCAGGTTGGCTCCAAACATTGTGCCCATGTTTGGGGAAACGAACCTGGGTCTTCGGTGTGAAGAACCAGCGCCTTAACCACTGGGCTACTACTAGAACGCGTCAATGTATGACGTTTGTGCAGGACAACGGTGTAGTAATGTAATTTACCTGATCTTAGCGCTTTTTCTATCTTTTCAGAATTTGTATTTCACCTTTTCTATCAATATTTCATTGTCAGTTCAGGTTTCCTCGCAATACACTTTTTAAGGTTGATAACGCCAGTGTATCTGCTTATTGAATGTCGACTTTGCAACCGTTCTAATCATTTACAGAGAAAACAATTAAAAAAATGTGGTTTGAAGTTGAAGGACATCTTTTATTACATGTATATTTCGATAACCCTTTTGAAAGTCAATTATATTTTCAAAAATGAAATATGTGTTTTTTACCCCACTCAGACACAGTATACTGACAGGGTAACGAAAAATAACTTCTTTTAACGTCTTTTGGTATGACGCGGCCGGGGATAGAACCCAGGACCTTCCGCTCTCCGGCCGGACGCTCTACCACTAGACCACGGAGGCTGTTGAATCTCACTACATGTACGAACACGAATCCACATAAGTAAAAAGAAATGTGTACAAATACACGAAATCGTATTCATGATGTCAGTCACTGGATTGTCTGATCCAGAAACGATTATTCACAGATCGCCATCATACGGCTGGAATATTGCTGAGTGCGACGTAAACAAGAAACAAACCATAATCACGTTATTATATTTTGAAAGTCATTAATTGACGTTTATTTTGGTATCATATATAAAAGACGTGTTACTTGCCAGGCTGACAAAATGATTGATTGAACGTGATGTGTGACGTTACAAGAATAACGTGACATAAGCATGATTTTCAACGTTCAAGGACCCGTTTATGAGTTGTTGTCACGATTCATAGATAGATATGAACCAACAGATGCCCCTGTAAGCGAAAGATGAGATCTAAATTAGCGACGTTAAAACAATTCAGTAAACATATACCACGACCTATTATTTCGCTAAATCTGACAAGCAATGAGCACTGAGTGTAAAATATTAAACCCTCACATCTTTCACTGAATACTGTACTGTCTATGTTTCTCCATGTTTATTCATGGAGAGGGGTGTGCGTTAGGGGAGGGGAGAGCGTTATCTTGTTACGCCGGAAACAATGGTTCGATTCGGTCTAGGTACAATGTGTGAAGCCCATTTCTGGTGTCCCTACTGAAAGCAGCGTACAACAAGACTCATTCAGTTTCATTCATAGTTTTTTATATTGTATTGATGGCTGTTTTTTCTGTTCCTTTAGCTTGTTGCTTAACGTGCAGCCTGGCATAATCCGGCTATATGACGGCGGTCTGCAAATAATGGTGCCTGGACCAGGCAATCCAGTGATCGGCATCATGCGCCTACGTAATTGGGATACAGACCCGTGAAGATCCAGGCTAGAATACGTCTTCAGCAACCCATTCTTGCTGTAACAGGCGACTATGCTTGTCGTAAAAGCCGACTAACGGGATTGGGTGGTCAGGCTCGCTGACTTGGTTGATGCATCTCATCGTATCCCAATTGCGTGGATCGATGCTCATGTTGTCAATCAGTGGATTGTCTTTCCCAGACTCGATTATTTACAGACCGCCGTCATATAGATGGAATATGGCTGAGTACGGCGTTAAACAACAAACAAACAAAAATTGGGCTTCAATGGCATGCAACAGTTACAATATATCATCAATGAGTGGGCGTTCAACTACGGGTAGTCACGTTATGTTTGGTTTGGTTTTAAAATTACAACGTTAACAACTGAAACAACGTAATGCTGTGGTAAGTAGCTCGATATGACTATATCTCGATTTGACTGCCCCCCTAGTCAGGAGAATAAAGAGTGTCTGTTAGGTGAGCGGAAGGGCTGTGGTTCGATTCCTGGCCGCGTCATACCAAAAGACGTTTCTGAGATTAAGTAAGGACTGGTCAGCTCGGAGTATACCATGGCTGAGTGTGGCATCCATTTTAAAGGAGATTTACAGTAACCTTTAAATATGGGATTAACTCATTTATATGCACATTAAAACAACTATGTTGAAGGAAAATAATTAAAATGCATATCTGTGACAAAACGTTAAAACCTACTCGTATTCCGGAAACTACCGAGAGTTAATGAAAAGCGTTGTCATCACGTGACGTGACGTCAATTTTAGAGTTGATGACTTGTTCATTGACTACTGTTTCCGTAGTGTTTGGTAGAATACTAGCGTTAGCCATGGCACTGCCTGACAAAACGTTGAATATTCGCTCAGTGACCACACACGTACTCGTCCATATCGATAGGAGCCAGTGGTTAGTCAAACTAGTCTTGACAGCAGCGAGGAAAGCGATCAGTCGGATGTCAAAACGGAATAGGGAACACAATCTGGTGTGAACGCTATACTGAAATTTCTAACTAATATAAAATGGATGTTTGTTAATACGCGTCCTCGTGCTTTAACTGTAATAGTTCAGAACAAAACTACACTTTATTACATCCTCGGTGTAATAGTAGAGCGATCGCCCAGATAGCGGAAGGTTCGGACTTCGATCCCCGGCCGCGTCATACCAAAAGGAGTTAAAAGACTGTACTTGTTGTTACCCTGCCTGACGCCCGGCATTAATGTTTAAGGTGAGGTGAGGTGAGGTGAGGTGAGGTGAGGTGAGGTGAGGTGAAATGGGGTTTAACGTCGCGTCCAGGATCATTGCACTTATATAGAGACGTGCATTCTAGTGAGTGTGTGTGTCACAAATACCATGCCGCAGATTAACTTGAATACCCCACTCATGCACAGTATATTGACTCCGAGCCGACCAGTCCTTGTTTTTAAAATCTTAATGCCGAGCGCCTGGGGATCGAACCCCGGACCTTACGCTCTCCGGTCGGACGCTCTACAACTAGATCACAGAGGCGGTCGCTAACAGAAGGTCTGGTCTGAGTCGGATATTCATGTCAAACTGCGGCATGGTATCTCAGTGGCCTATTACTATAAAAAGGGCATTAGTCCGGACTAGTACAAGCAGCAACACACACACACACACACACACACACACACACACACACACACACACACACACACACACACACACACACACACACACGCACACACGCACACACGCACACGCACACACACACGCACACACACGTGCAAACATGTCGCTATATAAGTGCAATAATCTTGGGTGCGACGTTAAACCCCACGTCACCTTTATGACACTACACATAGAGTAGAGTGAACTGATTTCTTAAATAGGGAGGGGGCACAGGTGGCCCAGTCGTCTAAGGCGCCGCGATTCACTGTGGAGATATGCGCCCCCTGGGCACGCCAGAAACCTATGATTGTAGGTTCGAATCCCGGTTCGCCCCGATTATGTTTCTAGGTTTGTCAGCACCATACCCGTGCTCGTGGGTTTCATCGAAGTGGTAAACGTCTGAGACCTGCATCACTTCGGGCTTTCCTCCCACATGAAGCTGACACGCCGTGATATAACTGGAATACTGTTAAAAGCGGCGTAAAACCCAACTCACTCACTCACTCTTGCATAGGGTATTCCTACAATCAGCTATCGAGGTCTACCAAGTGTAATAATTCATACGGAGATTCTATACAAAATGTGTAACCACATGATTGCTTTTGTTTGGAGATAGTCCTATAGAATATGCAGTAATTTACTGTTGATGATAACTGTTTAGAGCATATTTTACAACACATTTCCTATCATCATCATCATCATCATCATCATCATTAACTCACTGTTCTTTTTTGGTAGCTGAACGTTGCATTCAGTAATATCCCAGCTATATCACGGTGCCTGTAAATAACCACATCCGGGACAGACAAACCAGTGATTGATATTATGACCAACGATCCACGCCTGTGGGGTACGGTGTCACGCAATCAACAGTCACCGGGTTTGTCTGCCCTTTCCAAGAAGTCGCCTTACGACCAGCATGGGCCGTTTGGAGACCCGAAGGGCAATTCATGTGCGTATCAGTGCTGACAGTGCGGCGTTAAACAACCAACCAACTAACCAAACAAACAAACACATCTATGCTTACTTGAAACACAAACGTGCGTATTGTCTGACTCTTGAGAATGAAATCTGTTTGTACAGCCCTCCCTGTCGATATGGACAGCCAATCCGTATCTCAGCCAATATATATCCTGATGGGTATAAATATACTTTCCCATCAAGATCCGGTTTAGAATTGGTCTTCAGTAACCCATGCTTGTCGTAAGACGGGATCGGGTGACCAGGCTCGCTGACTTGGTTGAGGCATGTCATCGTATATCAGTTGCGAGGATCGATGCTCATGAAGTCAATACTGGATTGATTGGTCTACACTCTATTATTTACAGACCGCCGTCATGTAGCTGGAGTATTGCTGAGTGCGGCGTTGAACAACAAACAATTAATGAATCGTGATTCTGAGCTGATTAGTTAGTTTCTAAACACCTACACCAATTGAAATGATCGTTCGTGCAATGTCCGACAAATGTTGTAAGATAGTAATTACCAAGACAAAAACTCATTGAGCTTTTATTACATACCCAACGTCAACGTCATCATATTCCCAAACACTTTTGAAAAGCGGATCCTGCGCTGGTGTGAGAACAGCCGGTGCAGATTAATAAATAGCGACAAATAAGAAATCGAAACACGCAAACAATGATGCTCCGCACAATCAGATCTATGCATTCAAAATTTAAAGATTAATGAAATTATCCCAATACAGACATCTGGGTTCTACGTTGAATCAATCGCTGCAGGGCGTCTCCGTAGACTCCCCTTGCAGCATCCATCTGCAGCATCCCTGCAATAACGGGGTCCTGATTTGGCTGCATCATCATCCTCAAGCCCATTGTTTCCAGCTGGGCATCTGTTGCTACCCTCTCCATCGTGTTCAAGCGCATAAGGTAACCCTGGGCTTTGGCGAACTGAGCGGGGTTGTTTTTGAGAGATAGATAGTAGTTGTAGGATGGTATCTGGTCAATCTTCATCAGACGGTCGATGTTGGCGCGTCTTACACCTTGGGTACGAACAGAATTCAAGTAAGCAATTTCCTGGCTATCCAATCCCATCATACGGCCTGTCATTGTATTTTGCAAGATCGAACTCATGAGGTTGCCGGCGCCAGCGTTGGTTGCCTGCTGCCTGTTGGCTCCGGCTGCGGCTTGTCCCAGAAGACCGCCTTGTTGGCTCCGAGCGGCACTATAAGGGCTCTGGCCGAAGAGTGACGCGCCAAAGGAACCGAGGTTTGGTTGTTGTGGCTGGTAGGAAGGATTTGGTGGTTGTTGCGGGAAGAGTCCACCACGTGTTTGTTGTGCTGGTTGTTGGTTGAAGAGACTGGCCTGTGCTGCTTGTTGTTGTTGCTGCGAGGCACTGTAGGCTGCAGGTTTGGTATTACTGGCGGGAGCTGAAAAAAACGGATACATGTTTTCGTTTTGCAATTCTCCTTCATACGTTTTGCAACCACACACACACACACACACGCGCGCCAACGCACGCACGCACGCACGCACGCACGCACGCACGCACACACACGCACGCACACACACGCACGCACGCACGCACACACACACACACGCACACACATATACATACATATATTTGCAATTTAATTTTATTTTGTTTCTGAGAAGACACGTGGCCCAGTCGTCTGAGACGCCGCGATTTGCTGTGCAGAGTTGCGTCCCTTGGGCACGCCAGAAACCTATGATTGTGGTTTCGAATCCCGGTACGCCCCGATTATGTTTCAAGGTTTGTCAGCACCATATGCTAGTGGGTTTCACCAGAGTAGCAGACATATGAGACCTGCATCACATCGTGTTTACCTTCCACATTCTGCTTACACGCCGTCATATAACTGGAATACTGTTCAAAGCGACGTTTAATCTAACTCACTCACTTACACCAACCTTAAAATTCGACCGGATCATACGTTATTGTTACATTTTGGTATGCCTCATTGGATTCGGGTTCCGCATTTGTATCGCTATTTTCATAACGAAATATAATATTTCTGATATGGTCGCAAAACATACTCTCTACTTTTTCAATCGTGATGTTAGGTTGTTAAGAGTGGTTAAGTTGACGAAATGCAAAAATAGCCAACAAAACCATTTCCATGAAACTGGGCTTTACACATTGTATCCATGTGGGAATGAACCTGGACTTTCGGTGAGATGAGCAAACGCTTTAACCACCAAGCTACCGCACCACCCCTTGTTCTTTTAAGAACACAAATATGCTATTGGTAAAAAACGAATGTTACTTACGCATGCCGAAGCATAGTCCCACGGACAACAGGACTGTAATTACGTGAAGAACCATCTTGTTGCTGCTGTCTTGAGATCTGTGTGAAGAAACATAACTTTAGGAAACGTATCAACAATACAAAAAATGTTCAAACACGAACAATCTACTAAAAAAACAAGCGGCGTCAGCATGCATGACATATATTGCAACCAGCCTCTGAAAGTAGTACGTACAAGAACCCATCCGCCGTTGATTCGAAATCACGATTCTTCCTGTGCAGGCTGTCTTTAATTCCCCCCCCCCCCCCCCCCCCCCCCCCACCCGCTTAGAATAGGTCCTGACCAAATGACAAAACGAAAGAAGGTTTTGCGTGCGGACGTATTTCGCTAATCATTGTGGGTATCAATATTTCTCACTCACTCACTCACTCACTCACTCACTCACTCACTCACTCACTCACTCACTCGCTCACCCACTCACTCACCCACCCACCCACCCACCTACTCACTCACTCACTCACTCGCTCACCACTCACTCACTCACTCACTCCTAGGTCTCACGTGTCAGAATGCCACTTAATAGCGGTAGCTAAGATTGGGTCACATTTGTCTTATATGACACGCGAGATCGGCCTCCACTAACCCTGAAGACAGAACGGGCAAAACACAATATATCTTTGTCAAACACCTCTCACAATCTTGACAGCAATATGTCAGCCGGAGGGTTGCGTGACCGTTATTTGTCACACTACCTTCATACAGGTCGATCACATTAACTGCAGGGCAGAAAGTATAAACTTGAGATAAAAAAAATGACCAGAAATTTGACAAAAAATTACAAATGCTATAAAAATATTAATGAGCTGACAACAATCGCCGAAACACTGCAAACTTTAGATCCAAAAAACATCCATGGTTACTCGTATCAAATACATCACAATCGGATAACTATTCTTGTTTGTTTCATTTTTAGCCAGCATTGAGCATGGGGGTATACTTACTTTTGACCAGTAGTTGCAGAAACTCAAATTATAATCGACAGATAAGAGCTTTAGACACAGTTTCCTACATATTAATTCAATCAATTAGCAAATGGTAATTGAGTGAGTGAGTATGGTTTAACGCCGCTTTTAGCAATATTCCAGCAATATCACGGCGGGGGACACCTTAAATGGGCTTCACACATTGTACCCATGTCGGGAATCGAACCCGGGTCTTCGGCGTGACGAGCGAACGCTTTAACCACTAAGCTACCCGACCGCCCCTAGCAAATGGTAACCTTTAAACACTTATCAGTATACGTTCGACGGGAAATTAAAATACAGGTGTTTTCTTGATCTTTGAAGACTCAAAGATCATAAGAAGACTATTTAAAAAAACCTTTAATTAGAAGTCTTCAAAACAATATATAGTTGAATATAATAGCATTGTTCAGCGACCCGTGAAGATCCTGGGTAGAATAGATCTTCAACAACCCATGCTTGCCGCAAAAGGCGACAATGCTTGTTGTAAGAGGCGACTAACGGGATCGGGTGGACAGACTCGCTGACTTGGTTGATGCATGTCATCGATCCCAGTTGCGTGGATCGATGCTCATGATATCAATCACTGGATTGTCTGGTCCAGACTCGATTATTTACTGACTGATGTCGTATAGCTGGAATATTGCTGAGTGCGGCGTTAAACAACAAACAAACAAACAAACAAACAAAGCATTGGTCAGCATACCTGAAGACAAACGTAACTTTGCCAACGAATTGACGTAGACCAAAGTTGCCCAACTTACTCCTTGGTGAGGAGCCAAAAAGATACAGCTTGTTAGTTTTGTTAACTGATTCAATAATAAATAAAAACAATGTTTAAATGAATAAGTACAATAGATGGGTATTTATAGTCAATTGTGTATTTTGATATGCACCAGGATGGTATAATATCTATTGTTGATATTTTCATTAAATAATGAAACTTTGTTGGTGTTCTATATTTTGAACTTCCTCCCCGCCTTGACATTTGTTGCACAAAGGAACGAGGACAGGGATTTTATAACGATCCATTGCAACACTGTTTCCTTGCATTTTACGTTTCCTTTTAGGTTCTGCCAAGTTAGGACCGCCTCCGTGGTCTAGTGAAAGAGCGTTCGATCGCCGGCCGCGTCATACCAAAAGACGTAAAACGATGGTATTTGTTGTTACCCTGTCTGGCGCTCGACATTAAGGGGCTAAAAAAAAGGACTGGTCGGCTAGAAGTCAGTATACTGTTGTCTGAGTGGGTAATTCATTCATGTTAAACTGCGACATGGTATCTCAGGGGGCTGGCACTATAAACCGGCATAAGTCCGTACTAGTACAAGCAGCCACACACCCACACGTGCATGCACGTCGCTATATAACTCTGTCAAGTTAATTACCTCGGTCATCCAAGCTTTAATAATAAAACGCATAAAAAAGCATAGATGTCCCTACTTTTTCTTGTGTTATAGCGAGATGACATTTTGCTCCTAATTATAATTCATGAATAAAACGAGGGACCCCTCCGCTTAAAACTAAAGTATTTGAGTGAGTAAGTGAGTTGGGTTTAACGCCGCTTTGGGACAGTATTCCAATTATATCACGGCGCGTAATAATTATATTTTCTTAAATACAATTTAACAACTGTTTTTATCTGTAAAATACTAGATGTTAGTCTATCGTAGTCCCGAAAATAAATGAAGACCAGGGTACGTTTAATGTTGCCTCAAATGTTCATATCACTACTTCAAACGAAGAAATAAACTACCGGACAAAAAAAAGTATTCTCTTGAAAATTGGATTTTACCCAAAAATTGCAAACATTCTGTTGTGAGATTCTGATGTGATATGATGCATGTTTATCGCCTATGATACCCGTATAAAAAACATCACCATCGGATAACCATTTCTTGTTTGTTTCATTTTAGCCACCATCAAACAAACATTGGTGTATACTCTCTTTTGCCCGGAAGTTTAGACGATGAGGTGAGGTAAGGTGAAATAGGGTTTAACGCTGCGTCCAAGATTATTGCACTTATATAGCGACGTGCATGCACGTGTGTGTGTTTGGCTGCTTGTACTGGTCCGGACTGATGCCGATTTATAGTGCTAGCCCACTGAGATACCATGCCGCAGTTAACATGAATACCCCTCTCAGACACAGTATACTGACTCCGAGCCGACCAGTCCTTGTTTTAGTCCCATAATGCCGAGCGCCTGACAGGGTAAAAACAAGTACCATCTTTGAGTGAGTAAGTGAGTGAGTATGGGTTTACGCCGCTTTTAGCAGTATTCAAGCAATATCACAACGGGGGACACCAAGTTTCATCTTTGAACGTCATTTGGTATGACGCAACCGTTGATCGAACCCCCAGACCTTCCACTAACTGGGCGGACGCTCTACCACTAGACCACGGAGGCGGTTTTACACGATGACTTTAGATTGGCATTTGGTGATTACTCTCTCTTCAGACTGTTCAACAAATGCTACTTTACCATAATTCTCTGAGTAGCAACTAAAAAGGTACTCTCCATACTTCAACAAACAAGTTGATGAATTTACGTGTAATTAAAAATAGTCTTTCTTACAAGTGTTTCTTTCTTGCCTTTGCATGTGTTTGTGGCATGTTCCTTCGATGGGGTAGAGTACGCTCACCTTTTCGCGAAAATCTTGTATCATGACGATCTGATAGTGATTCATAAACGCATGCCCATGATATAGTCGGAAATGTGCAATCGAGATTCAAATGAATATAGAGAGAGCTTTGTGGATTTTATTTACACATAATTCTTGTCGCTGTATTACTGCGATATTATGTTAATGTGGAGTATTGCCTTATCACCCTTCCTCCCAATATATATCATCATTGGGTAGATTTATGTGCATTGTTGCTCAAATTTGTTTTGACAATATCATAAATCACAAACTTTTTTTCGTAAATACTTAGTATTAAGCTTATAAAACGTCAGACACAGTTAGAGTAATAGTGAGTGAGTGAGTGAGTTGGGTTTAACGCCGCTTTTAACATTATTCCAGTTATATCACGGCGTGTCAGCTTAATGTGGGAGGAAAGCCCGAAGTGATGCAGGTCTAAGACGTTTACCACTTCGGTGAAACCCACGAGCACGGGTATGGTGCTGACAAACCTAGAAACATAATCGGGGCGAACCGGGATTCGAACCCAAAATCACAGGTTTCTGGCGTGCCCAAGGGAGGCAACTCCGCACAGCGAATCGCGGCGCCTTAGACGACTGGGCCACCCGTGCCCCCAGTTAGAGTAATAATACCTATACAACAAAGATACAAACAAAATGAAGCCATCTGTAACTTTCATAAATAAGGTGTGAACGAGTGACTGAGTTGGGTTTAACGCCGCTTTGAACAGTATTCCAGTGTCGGCTTCATGTGAGAGGAAAGCCCAAGTGATGCAGGTCTCAGACGTTTACCACTTTGGTAAAACCCACTAAACCTGACAAACCTAGAAACATAATCGGGGCGAACAGGGATTCGAGCCCAGGCTCACAGGTTTCTGGCGTGCCCAAGAGACGCAACTCTGCACAGCGAATTGGGCTATCCGTGCCCCCAGCGTAAATGAGGAAACGCAGGACGAATACGTCGGTGTGTGACAAGGAGGTGCATATGTGGCTTGCCCTTTTCTTGAACACCTGGTATCAATACTCATTTTAAGTGATCCATTTACGCCGTATGGAATCTGTTTCAGCAAATAGTCGAGACTGATAATTCTCTGTCTTTTTATTTTAGGGAATTTACTTATATATCCATAAGCGTGACCGAGTGAGTGAGAATTGGTTTACGCCTTTTTAAGTGATATTCCAGTTATATCACGTCGGGTACATCATTGTGCCAGCATGGTAAGCGAACGCTTTACCAATTCGCTACTTCACTTCTCCTTAACTTCGAGGTCTACCCTTAAGGCTTTCTTTAAAAAGGAAAGCAAAGATGCTTTTGTCAAGCCACAGTTAACAAAGGCACAGCTTCATCAATGCTCCAAGCTAACAGAGTCTGGACTAGACGCATCTGTCAGTTAAAGCATTGTCAATGATCCAGGTCGCTGGGGTGCGATGCAATGCGATGCGATGCGATGCGATGCGATGCGATGCGATGCGATGGCGTTACGGCATCACGATTTCTTTTGAAGTCGAACCTTATCTTACAATGAGGTACTAGTGATCTAAATGTACACTATCACAGAACCAACATGGATAGGTATGTTCTTTGTAGGTAAGAAAAATACGTTTGTTTTATGAAAGTATTATTGATAGCTTTTTTATAAAGTACTAAAGGGCAAAATCATTTGTGCATCTCATTTTTTGCCAGCTCTATGGTAGACTTGGGGATATCATGCACCGTTTCCTACTTTGTCAAGAAAATCAAAGATAGTTAATCACGTGCCGTCGAATACTTTAGAAGAAACCATTGTTCAAAATAACATAAATTGTCAAAAAATAAAAGGGTCAATGAATTTTGTTTTAGAGAATTGCATCTCTAATAAGTATATTCAAATTTAAAGTTGAAATGAAAACGCGATGTGATTTAGAAACCCTTATCCTCACAAATCCAAATGTAACCATCTTTTGAAAGGACAACTACACACATACCTATTTGAAAAAAAATCTCCAATTAAGTAAAAAAAAATAACTGAAAAATATATATGGGAATTTGGGAATAGAAAGGACAATGTCAAGCAAATACAAAAATGTCAGTAAACGTTGATGTAGAATATACACTTACCAATGAGCAGTGTATCAGCCTCAGCGACAACAGAGTTCTTTCTTAACTAAAGGACAGACTGTTATATATATATATATATGTATGTATGTATGTATGAGTGTGTGTCTATATTCAGTACCTCCCCGTGAAACGTGATGGAATGGTCGTGTACGTCACGCACCTCCAATCAGTCAATGTGTCTGTCAACCAATCAGAATGCAGGCCTATGAAGCTCTAAACTCGCGCGGACGTCAGAGGGTGCAGGAGAGGACACATTTAGAATGAGACTTCGGAATCTAAATGGCTATCCCCGTCTTTCTTTGTTTCAATCTCCCTCTTGGCTCCCCTCTTTAATTAACATTTTTCTAATACACTCTCTGCTCTCATTCAAACTCACCATCTCTGGGTCACTCCATCACTTTTCATTTTTCTGTTTCCCCGCATTTTTGTCTGTTTAGTTTCGCCAAAGGGGTGAACTTCCAAGACATACATTACGTCGGGCTACTCCAACATCAAGCTGACACACCGTTATATAAATGAAATACTGTTCAAAGCGGCGTCAGCTCACTCACTACTTCTATACACCTGAAACATCTTTCCTTACAAAATTTCAATTTTTAAATGGCATCCTGTATTAATTTCTGTGAATTCATTTTTTTGACTACAAATTGGCATTCCCATATTGAATTACAGAAACCAAATAATCGATCATCTCATGACATATTTTGCGACTGTTCCATGGCAATACACATTTTTGGCTCCATCCCCTTCAGTGAATTATTGCCTCTGAGGTTTAATGTCGCGTTGTAGATTATTCCACCAATTTTGTGAGCGGCTTCTTGCACTAGTCCGTACTTATAATCCATTTTATAATCCTAGACCACTGACATACCAGTAAACAATTAACAGGGGTACCCCACTCGGACAAGGTACCGACCATTCATTGTTTATTGCCTTAATGCCGAGCGCGAGGCAGGGCAACAACAAGCACCAACTTTTAACGTCTTTTGGTATGAAGAGGCCAGAGGATCGAACCACCGAGATTCCGCTCTACGGGCAGACGCTCTTTCCACTAGACCACGGAATCGGTTGTAACTGTGACTGGCCTAACCTACATTGTCCTTGTACAAAGTGGACTGTTTCAATTGTAACAATGGTCATTTTCAAAATAACACCAATGTCACAAGTAGACGTTTCCAAACATGGAGGGACAGTGAGGTAGCCTAGTGGTTAAAGCGTTCGCTCGTCACGCCGAAAGCCCGAGTTCGATTCCCTACATGGGTACAAGGTTAGAAGCCACTTTCTGGTGTCCCCGTGCTGGAATATTGCTAAAAGCGGCGTAAAACCCAACTCACTCATCACTCACTCACTCCGAACATGACAGCACGGAATAAATAAGATAGAAGAGGCGGTGCTTAACTTTTTTCCAGATGCATATCTTTCTTCCCTTGTTCAATCCCTAATCCTGTTTTTTACGGCTTTGATAAACAGCCATATGAACGCGTATACTAAATCTAATATACTACAATATACAATTCATTATCCACATAAACGTCCAGGATATTTGAATACCGGATCTTTACTTCTTGGTACGGATATACAGTTGGCTAGGAAAAACAAGCGTGGCATAAACGTTTCATATTCAATCAGGGGTCCGTTGATTTATTCGCAGCACGTGTTCAGCATTGCTAAACAAAGAGGACAACTATATACATCCCATTTTTCCTGTCTTTTTAATGTCATACTTTGTCAGCGTGTAACCCTTCAACGTACCATAACTTCCCTAGCAATTACGTTTACTACGCATTGGAACACATGGCCGTAAATGTGGGATTACATATATTAGGTGAAAAAGATAGAAAAAAGGAAATTATGGTTATTTGACGGTGATGTACTTGATTCGGGTATCACAGTGGTGTTTTGGATCTTAAGCTTGTAGTGATTTAGTGTCTGTTTAGGTGAGGTGAGGTGAGGTGAGGTGAGGTGAGGTGAGGTGAGGTGAGGTGAGGTGAGGCGAGGCGGGGTGATTATCGCACTTATTTAGCAGCATGGTATCTCAGTGAGCTAGCACTATATCCGCTCGGGGTAGTACAAGCGCGAGCGCACGCACACACGCACGCACGCACGCACGCACATACACACACGTGCACATAGCTGTATAAAAGTTTAATCTTGAACGTGTCATTTTTGAAACCGCTTCAATAGGTTTCATAAAAAATTGCACTGAAATTCTTCTATCCAATTGAATTCTCCTTTGTCTGTTTAATATGTTCAGCAAGCATTCGGCGTAATCCCACCGGGCATAAAACCACCTCCGGGCAGGGCCCTTAATCCCCAGCGCTACCTTTAAATGTCAGTTAACACTGACTCACGTCGTCGGATCTTACGTATGTATCTTATGCTGATCTTGCCCCACGTTATTTAATACATCTATCTGCACAACCTGCCTAACATGATCAATCACGGAGACCGACCCCGATCATCTACGACTGATCGCAGCGATAGCGGGTCTCTGCACCACAAATATCGGCCACACGGTGCCATCATATACCTTTTTGACTGTTTTTCACTCATCAACAGTTAAACTGGCTGCTGTCGTCTAAAACGTCACCCCTACATTTCGTCTTCAATCGCTGCAAACCCAGAGCCAACATGCGTTCTTGGAAAACGCGACGTAGTGTACATCTGTATCAAGGATGAGGTTTTACCTCAATCCATCATATAGTATTGGATTTGTTGATTGTTGTTTAAGGCCGCACTCAGCAATATCCCAGCTGTATGGCGACGGTCTGTACAATAATCGAGTCTGGACCAGACGATCCAGCGATTGACTTCATGAGCTTTCATCTATGCAATTGGGACATGATGACAGCGAGCCTGACCACCCGAATCTTTAAGGCGCCTCTTACGACAAGCAGGATTTGCTGGAGACCAATTCTAACCCCAATAAATAAGCGTAATCATATTTCTTAGATAAGTATTCAACCAAGTTTAAAGTATCCAAATGAATGAATAATGTTTTGGTCGAGTGTAAGGCTAAATGCGTTCACATGAATGTGAAAGAACATATCATATCGTACACGAACATCTGTCAAAAATGCTTTCCTATGATGCAGGTACATCTGCATCAGTGATCTCATGTTGATGACATGTACACTTCCACGTTTGCTGTCAGATTTCTAACCTTATAATCCATTTGATTTTTTTACACTGTCACGGCAGACAGTGAACTACAATGTATAATATGACATAACTCTTCGGAATACAATAGCTTGTTCTAAATCTGACAATCATGTCACTACATGTACTTGCATAAAGGACAATATATTACTGGGAGACCTTTTGTTAAAAACTCACAAGCCCTTCTTTGTTCGAACACTTGTTTTAAATAAGTGATAAGTCATATTTGTAGAACGTCTGTATTCGTAAGTACACTAACATATTTTATGGGGACAGTTACTTATTTCTGCTGCAACTTTTTTTATCCATTGTATTGCCATTTGTGAAATATAGAGTTCAAATTACCCCGTAACATAAATAGAGAATCTCACCCTCGTGTCTTTTGATATCAAATATTTCAACACTCGTTGATAAAAGTGGAAAAATTCCGAGGCTTGCCGAGGATTTTTGCCACTTTTATCAACGAGTGTTGATATATTTGATATCTAAAGACATGAGGGTGAGATTTTATTTATCATCCAACATCATTTTTCCAACTTTTTCAATTTCAATCTTTTTCAGTAATTATCAGTGTCTTCAGTGTAAAAAGTACTGCTAACAGCTTCAGTAGCAGAGCCATTAGTGATGTCATATGATTGTGATGTCATGGTAACCAGTGACGTCACAATGGTCTGCAAAGCATTGTGATGTAATTTCATTGCAGCGATATCTACAGTGTAGATATCGCTTGATCTAATCCAAAATCCCCTCGAAGCCACACTCTCAGAGTGAGACCCGCCATCGCCAGGACACAAAGTCAGCGATCTAACCCACTCAGCCACCGAAGAAGCCTCGGTGCCTATGAAGAGCCTCACTCTGAGAGTGAGGGTTCGAGTTCCGGGTAGGGCTCAACCCTAAAAGTATTAGATTCTGTACTTTACAAAGTGTGTGGAATCCCAAATATAATATGTGAAACATGAATGTTGTCATTGCCCTGTAAGATGAGGATGATCAGAAAGTTCTCCATTTCTCCATGTGTAACTCATTGTGGTGTGAATGTTGCCATTTCATCATATGATCTGGCCTGAATGTACATGTTACCATTATCAATATACTCGGTATAACTTGACATTTCTCCACATGCTCCGTTTTTCTTGACTGTTCCCTTTTCTCCACATGACACGTATGGTTTCAATGTTACCATTCCTCCATATGCTGTGTATGGCTTCAATGTTGTCATATCTCCATATGCTCCATATGGCTTGAATAATGTAACAGTTTGAATACTACCATGTCTCCGGTATGCTCCATATAGCTTTAATGGTCTCCATGTGACCCATTACGAAGTGTTGCCTTTTCTTTGTATGACACGTAAGGCTTGAATGTTGTCATTTATCCGTATGCTGCTTATGGCTTGAATGTTGCCATGCATCTATATGTTGTGTATTGCTTCAATGTTACCATTTATCCATTGTGCTGTGTATGGCTTGAATGTTGTCATGTATTCATATGTTGCCCGTGGTTTTTCTCCGTATAACACGTAATGCTTGAATGTTGCCATTTCTCCGTATCACACATATGGCTTGAATGTTGCCATTTCTCCGTATCACACATATGGCTTGAATGTTGCCATTTCTCCGTATCACACGTATGGCTTCAATGTTGCCATTTCTCGGTATCACACATATGGCTTCAATGTTGCCATTTCTCCATATCACACATATGGCTTCAATGTTGTCATTGCTCCATATCACACATATGGCTTCAATGTTGCCATTTCTCGGTATCACACATATGGCTTCAATGTTGCCATTTCTCCATATCGCACGTATGACTTTAACGTTGACATTTCTCCATATCACACATATGGCTTCAATGTTGCCATTTCTCCATATCACACATATGGCTTCAATGTTGACATTTCTCCATATCGCACGTATGACTTTAATGTTGACATTTCTCCATATCACACGTATT